CTTAAACATAAAAAAATTATAAAATATGTAAATTCACTACTTCTTTATTTTTTTATTTTATATATCATGTAAAAAAATTTTACAAAATAAATTTATATAAGATTATTTGTAACGGATGAGATATTCGTAAGTATTCGTAAATATCCGCAAATATCTGTTTATTTTCCGGATATCCGTTTTTCCGGATATCCGTATTTTTTCGAAGCAAAGCAAATACCAAAATCAGATATCCGTAACATACGAAGCAAATCACAAATACCTTCGAAAAGCCGGATATTCGATTCGTGCCCACCCCTAGTTTGCATGTGTCAAGCAATTAATAACGTGGCTTCATCTTTCAGTTTGTACGCCGGAATATATCTGTTCGATACAAAGATGCTTAATTTCTACGCAGATTGAATTAATTAATAAACTGCTGACTCCAATATATATTCTGGGAGAATCCAAGATAGACAATGCATTACTAGTTTAACATCTTTAAAATGAGAAGAGAAATGGATTTAACCATATATATATATATACTAGGTGTTTTGCCCGCACATGCGGGCATAATTTTCGTACAATTTATTATTAGTATATATTTTATTACTTTCAAACCAATATAATAAGTTATGATATATGTTTTATAATTTAAAATTAATAAATTGTATATGAAATTATTAAAACATGAAAATAAGTAAAATAAACTAAAATCATGGAGAAGTTGACAACTAAGCAAATTTACTTCTTAAATAATGTTATAGATTACACATTTTGAACCCAACTGAAACAACAAAAAAGAGTCTTTAGCTAAATATATATTATTATCAGTCTATATAGCGTTTAATAGGAGAGCAAATAACACGTCAAATAAGTTTTGAAACACTATTAAACCCTAGTTCCACGGCCAATGGCTTTTCCTGATCGTCTCAAGAACATGGTCTAATTCTTGTTTTGCGGGTTATCAACATTCAGCCCTGCAAAAACCACTCTTCTGATTAGTATCAGTAGAATATTAATAGACAAGTTAACCCAAACTAGGCAATAAAAAAAACTCTATTATCTCTAAGTATGTCATTACCGCCTGTCCACACGGAAAGATTGCCTCGAAGTATCTCTACGATAAACATGGCATCTTCGTATGATCGCTTGTCAACACCGTCAAGTTCAGAGATTGCATTGTCGTAAGCCTTTTTAGCCAACTTACACGCACTGTATATTTTCAAACACTTCACTCTTTATTATTTAACGTTTTAAAACATTAACCATTTATTAAATGTGTGCACAGTATGCATAGTACCTTTCAGTAGATTTAAGGATCTCATAGCTGAAAATCGAGAAGTTCAAAGCCAAGCCAAGCCTAACCAAATTCGTTGGTGATAAACCACTCTCTGCCATTTCCATTGCAATCTACAAATACATGTCTTTTATATACTTATATCAACAACAAACAACATATAAGAGATAAAACACGAGTGCAAAATGATGACCCTATATGCGTCAACAGAATTATTCGCAGCTCCTTCACGTTCAGCATCAGAACCAAACTCTGCCATGTATCGAAAATAATTTGCTTTCCTACATACCAAGAACACACAATAAACAAAAAAAAAAAAAAACATGCTGGTGATGGTAACGATTGTTGATTATTATGATGATGGGATGTAACTCACATTGTGTAGTAATAAACGGTTGACTCGACATTGTTAGTTGATGGAATGAGATGAGAATCAATGAGAGACAAAATGTCATTACAAACATTGAAAAACTCATCTTTAACCATCTCAATTTTTTTATTAATCAAATTCACGTTTTGTTTGTTTCCTTTGGAGTCTTCCTTTTCTTCAATGGAAAAGAATGTTCTCAATGAAGCTCTCTTAGTCGTCATCACCTTTTTGTAGCCAATTGCTAGTAGTTCTCTCTCTCTGTCACTTAGCTCTATATCATGCTCACATGCTTTTCTCATCGATTTCATCATATCTGCCACATAAGTTTGTAATCATGTGATTTGAAGAAAATCTACTTTTATTCTATACAACAAATTCCACAACTATGATCGGACGACTACATTAAAACATATAAATTAGTTTGTGCGTCGACGCAAGACTAGTTTTGAAAAACGCAGTTATGTGATATTATACCATCATATCTTTTAGCTAGGTAAGCAAGCCTAGCCATGTAAATCAACTTCTCTCTATCGTTTTCCATAGATTTGATCTCCTCTCCACCAGTTTCTCAGTATTTTTTTTTTAATGTGAAAAAGGTTGATCGGTGTCAGATTTGTTGAAACTATGGATTACTGAATCCGACAGTGCGTCAACGCAGGTCTATTTGTATATATCATAAACTACTAACAAGAAATATATTACTAAATTTTTATGAAAAGGAATTAGTAAAACAATTTTTAAAATGGTAAAATTAATAAAATTGGAAAAGTATCTTAAAAACAAAAGGAAACATTTAGGAAGAGGAGATCAAATATATTAATGAAATATTTAAGAGTAAAACATATCTTTCCAAATAAATATAATTGAATGTCCTAGTAGAAGTTGGATAAGTCTCACTAGATGAACTTATGGATCTTATCTTCAGAATACAAAAAAATTAGCTTAATAGATTGATTAGTAATCCTAATCCATATACTTTTCATTAATATCAAATTCATAGGCTGGAATATACTATATATCCAAAAATACTAATTATTTAAACCTAATACAATCTATACTAGATATTATTAGTTTATCAATTTTTATATATATATATATATATATATATATATATATATAATTAACAACATATTAAAGTAGGATGTAAATTCAACTTTATAATTATGCTTTTATAAACAGAGGCATAAAAGAAGATAGGGATATAGCCTTATACGTAGGTGGAGGAGAGAAGCCCATATACTTGAAGTCCAAGATGGATCTCTTGAAAGCCCAAGTATACACTTGCATGCCCGCTCGATTAAACGACTTCCTTGTCACTTTGGGATAACTTCTACAATCGTATTATTATTATTATTATTATTTTCGGTAATAACTATCTTATTTATTGATATATCAAATTTATCACTTTGAAATCTTGGACAATCCAATATATATGGATGGCCAGGGCTCTCAGCCTCTCACAACAAGTATATATATATCTTTCATTGGACCCATTCTTTCAATATAATGCGTCATTTCTCCAAAATCCGATTAGATATATTTGTGGTGATAACATTACAAACGTCTATTGTGTATATTCTTTACTAAGTTATACGTAATTTTACACGACACGTATATTAAAAACAAGGACAACATGTTTATAAACTTTTCCATGTCGCTTACGTCCACTTTGTGTATTTGCCTCTATAACCGTTGGGATGTGTATTAATTTAATAAGTTTGTGGAGATTGTGTGATGTTGAACGTGTGCCAAGTTTCACGATTTCTCAAAAGAAAGTGAAAGTGAACCTACAAACAAAAATAATAACCATATTTTTGGAGCACAATAACCTTCTAGAAACAGAAAACTAACGCTAGCGCTATTTTCTACGACTACGAGTTAAGCATCACTTAAAGAAACCAATTATCGCTATTTTTTTTATCGAACAACTAATTCAGAAATAGTCATACATGTTATCATCAGTGATAGCGTCAGTTTTAGCACAAAAAATATTATCAGAATAGGATTGTATTGTTTGGTTATTCACTTTTTCTACATAACCATATAATATATGTTCTCTTGTCGAAATAACGTAATGCGACAATATTTTTCAATTGCTATATGACTCATACGCATGAGTCATGCATGAGAGTGTTTGTTTTTGCCTGAATGATTTGAGTGAGTGTTTTAAAGCATGTGACACGAGGGACCATTGGTTGTTGGATGAGGTCTTCTACTTAATGAGTTAATGAGACATAGCCACTTCATCACTGGGTCCAACTTACAGCTACACGTATGATGGTAGGACCTGTGAATATCTGCCATGGATGGATAGTATTGAATCCAAAGAGACAAGTCCACCGGCGATTGGATGGACGCCGTTACTTGCGGCTACCCGACGCAACTACCGGACCTGATGCTTACGTTCTTTTGCTGTCTTTCAATCGTTTTGTCTTGTCTTTTTCGTTTTATAAATAAAAACTCTGGTTAATGTAGTTCGTCTTTTCTTTAGAGCTTCTATAACAAAAAAATGATCTCACCATTTAATAATTCATTTGTTTCTTATAGTTATTTTTTCTGAAAACATATTGTCTATGATTGAGTTCCAAAGACATTTATAATTTTGGCCATTAGCTCTTCAACAAATATATATATATATATATATATATATGGAAATACTTTAAGATACTACTACAAATAGAAGTAAATAAAAATTTATTTGATGCAATTATATGCAGCTATATTAGCTAAATGTTAATATTTCAATTTAGAATAACTGGATTACAAATTTGCTCACTACTATTGCAATCATAATGTGTTAATGTTGATTTGTTGTGTATATATTTTCGGCGTTTCGTATATTTCTAAGTATTTAATTGGGTTTTGATCTACGAAAATAAAATTCGCACTACCAGTTTAAATAAAATATCATATATTATCTTATTAGTTTTTCCAGTCACCAACTAATCTTGTTTCCTGAATGCGATGAGAATGTTATTCTATCATACTTTGTAGAAATAATATAAGGGTCTCATAATATAATAAGAAAATTGAAATCATTGACTCCGTGTCTTAGCCGCGGATTCCTCACATAATGGTGTAGCTATCTAATATTTTATATGCATTGTTTAATTACATTATTGTATTTTTCTTGACCAAAGGACCATGATTCTTGAATTACATTTGTTAACAAAAAAGAAGAAGAAATACATTAACTAAGCTTAACTTTTTTATAGTAAAGAATGAGATACTAATACGTACACATAACTTTTTATATGTCTTTTAAGACCGAAGAGAAAGAGAAAAAACCATAGAGTATAGTTACATGTGGCTCTCCTGCATGCTCTGTAAAACTCGTCCTTTTCACAAGTCCTCTTCTTCTCTTCTTCTCTGTTTTGGTTTAGTGGCTGTCATCGTTTGTATTGTCCAAAGATAATCTACAAAAAAGAAAAAAAAGTACGGCGAGATTTCAGAAACTCTGGCCGATACATCAGCGGATTCGGCGGTGGTCGGCTCAAGAACTGCCTCCTTGTTTTCCGTCGTCATTTCTTTTTCTTTTTTCATTGGTTTGGTGCTTTCCAAGCTTCCTGTAGATTACGGTTAAAGTCTTTAATCTCTGACAAGAACAAGAAGATGTTCAGCTGCTTTGCTGGATTGATCAGTAGAAAGAAAAATAAGGTAAATTAATTACTTCTCTGGCTTCTATTGGACTCTGTGGTGTTCTTGTGAATTTTTTCGGCGACTTCTTTATGTTCGAGATGTTTCCATTTGTCAATGAATAAATGTTCAACTCCTAATTAAAAAATAATAACTAATATATAAAGATTAGGACTTATTAATAGATTTTAAGTTAATAATAAGTCATTATTAACTCAAACTGAATATGGTATTGGATCATAATTTCGTCCATGTTTTTTATGTTAGCATCAATTCATTTATGGCTAATCAGTTTAAAAATCCATGTTTATGTTTGAAATTTAGAAGCATTTCAGTTATGGCTAATTAGTTTTAAGATTCATGTTTATGTTAGAATCAATTCATTCATGGTCAATTTTTTTTTGTTTTTGGAAAAATGGTAATTAATTTTAAGTTGGAAGTTTTATACAAATTTATTACAATATTTCATTTGTTGACCTAAACAGAGGAGTCAAAAACCTACTCCACCACCAAGAACACAGAGAATCCTTCAGATAAGACTAGAAGAGCCAGTGAAGCCTCTGGAGAATGACGAGCCAAGCACCAACGTGATCCACCACAAGTTCATTGATCACAAGGAAGACTCATATGATGGTGAAGATGAACACGATGAGAACGACTCAACTCACCCTGAGTCTCCACCTAAATTCCAAGTTCAAGAACAAGCGGTTGAGTCTCTCACAAGTAAGGAGTTATGTAAAGAAGTGACATACTGTTCTGAAAATGAACATGATGATGAAGAAGGAGGCCACGTCAGTGATCCAGGCTTAGGTAGAGCCACCTCTTGGGTGGCTTCACCTAAGCTCAAACGATCTTGCTCCACTTTAAGCAAGTTCAACGGTGCTGATCCTAGGGCTTTCCATGACACGAGAGATAGCTTTGAGACCAAGTCTGTTAGGTCACATAGAAGTGCAGATAGAGTGATGCTCAAGAAACATTCATCAATGCAGATACTTCCTTCAGGAAGCAGGCGTCTCTGGTGGAAACTCTTCCTCTGGAGCCATAGGAACCTTCACAAACACCTTGTCTCCCTAAAGTCTTCAGACAAGAATCACCAGTCTGGTTACACCTCTGACTTAGCTAGCCATCAAGAATCCGCAAACGACCAATGGCCTCGTCACAAGAACCAGTGGGTAGCGTTCTCTGCTGAATCCTCTTCTATGAAACGAGTAGATGAGTGGGTAAGAAGACTTGATGTGGAGACAGTGATTCCAGTAAACGAGGATGAGGATAAGCACAGCTTCATAGCTTCTCCTAAGATGGTGAGATCAGCCTCAGGAAATGTAAATGACTCAGAGGCCATAGTGCATGCAAATAGCTTAATACAGTCGCTGAGTAAATCCTCAAGCGTGGCTCATATCTCGAGCATAGGCTTGAAAGCTGTCCCAAGCATCTCACATTTCACCAGCCTCAAGTCCATTGATTTATCCAACAACTTCATAGGTACGCTCGTGTATTAAGTGTGTGTATGGCATGCATGTTTGGTAATTCGGTTCTCAATTAGTTCGGTTCAACATAAATCTTACCGAATTAATCCAAAAGAAAGTATGGTTAGGTATGATTAGTTCGGTTTTAAATGTATTACCAATATTTTTGATTTCAGCTATATTTTGCTTAAACTTTATTAAAATTTTCTTTAAAAAAATTATTAAAATTCGGATAAATTCTGTTAATTTTAGTTAGTTCGGTTTAAAATTTGGTTAGCTTGATTAGTTTGGCTCAGATTTTTGGCATGATTTTACTATAATTTTTTTAAAAAAAATTAAAAGTAACTGACCGAACCGAAAACCGATTTTTTTTTAAAAAAACAACACTGAATCAAACTGAACTAACTGAAACTTTCAGTTCGGTTTGGTTCAAAATCCCAGCCATGGTATGTGTGGTTAATAGACAATGTTCTGTTCATTGCAGTTCAAATAACTCCTGCATCACTTCCAAAGGGCCTACACGCATTGAACCTATCCAAGAACAAGATCAGTGCAATCGAAGGACTGAGAGAACTAACACGCTTAAGAGTACTTGATCTCAGTTACAACCGTATATCTCGCATTGGACAAGGTAAAAAATTGCATTTATTACACAAAACCATTTAAGTTGCTTCTTTTGTTCCTGTCTTAACCTGAAGCTAACTCAATCAGGTTTATCAAACTGTACACTGATCAAAGAGCTATACCTAGCTGGGAACAAGATAAGCAATGTAGAAGGCTTACACAGACTGTTAAAACTCATCGTTCTTGATCTTAGCTTCAACAAGATTGCAACAACCAAAGCAATAGGCCAGCTAGTTGCTAACTACAACTCTCTCGTTGCTTTAAACATCCTTGGAAACCCGATTCAGAGCAATGTTGGTGAAGACCAGCTGCGCAAGACAGTCTCCAGCTTGCTCCCTAAGCTAGTTTATCTCAACAAGCAGCTTATTAAACCAAAGAGAGCCAAAGAAGTGCTTAAAGACAGCGTCGCTAGAGCTGCTTTTAGTGGTGGAGATTCTCTGCACCACAGACGCAAAAGAACATCCACCAAGAGAGTAGTGGGATCACCGTCACATAGCGTCCATCACAGAGGTCACAATAGGGATGATAAAGAGAAAGGAAAGGGTCGTGGCTCCAAAGGTAGAAGCCAACATCAGATGAAGAAAACTTCAACTGCTGATACATAAGCCATCTCTTTCATCTTCATTCTTTTAAAAAGAATGGTTCCAATAATGTGTATTACAATAAAACTTTTGGTATTGTTATTGGCTATTGGGTAAACAAATATTCAAACATTGTTTCATAAACATCTTCACAAAGGTTGGATCATATTCTTTTCACTGTATATAATAAAATCTAGATTCTGTAAAATGGGGAAACCTTCACCGGTGGTCTTACGTCCCCTGGTGTCTTTCTCCTTTCTTCTTCCCCGTGTAGATTCCAAATTGTGATGGACAAAAATAAATTAACAAAAGTGGAGAGAACCTGTGTCTACTATGTCCTTCTTGTGTTTTAGATTGATTGTCTCTTGGTGAAAGGCTTTTGGCAGATGAGGAGTCTCTGTTCACTGCTGCTTTCAACCTCTATGACTCTAGCTTCCCACTTCAACTGCGTTGTCAAAGCTCTAGCTGCTTCCACCAGCTGTGCCGTGTCACGGATTATCACCCATCCCTGTAACAAAGTTCTTTCTTTAACTACACATAGCTCCAAGAACAGATAATGTTAAAGAGCAAAGACAATGTGTGTAGTACCTCTGGACGAAGTAATCTATCAATCTCTGTGAATATTTTGAGAAGTGAGCATCTTCTCTGAAGCGACAAAAGATTGTCTGCGTGGACCAGATCATATGTTCTTGGATAACTAGGGAATGCTTCACACCAGTCGTGTAAAACACCGACAAAGCCACGGTCAAGGATCATTGGTAAGTGGTTAGGTCCAGCTGTAGGGACAACATTCATGACCCAAACTGTTTTCTTTGCTTCCAACAATGCGGAGTTGAGACCACCGAACTGAGCATTCATGTCCAAAACGTTTCTGAGCATGTTGTAAGGCGGTGAAGGATCTTCATCGCCTGGTCTCTTGGGATGGTCAGAGAATATGAGAGGAGACAAGAGTGACCAGTATTCTCTTACTATTACTTTCCAGTTCTCGGCATCTTCTGCAACCTCCTCCGGGTGAAGACCTGAATCAAACCAACCTCAGGAATCAAGAAAAGCTGCAGAAGAGATGGATTCATAAGGCATCTTGTTAACTAAGGAGACTAACCATATAGTGAAAGTTCAGTCTTGTTCATGTTAGACCGGTTAGGCCATCTTGTTCTGCCTTCAATGGGAATCCACCTCTTGCTACGTGTTCCACCAAGACACATCTGAAGCGGCTTGTAATAAGGAGACTCCACGTCGTGCCCTTTGCTACACACAGAAGGACCCACTCCAGGCTTCCTGTTTATTAAGACATTTAAGCATACGCAGATTCTGGAATACAATGGTGTGTGTATGTGTCAGTGTCACTGACCGGGAACTGTAACATTTGGTTTTGGTTGTCTTCTTCCAGACAACAGTCTTGTCTTGCTGAGATAAAAGAGTCCAACAGATGCTTTCAGCAAAATGATAAACAAAGTTCCATCTCTTAAGATCATCTTTGCTACGAGCGTTTGTGAGAAGAGATGTCCAAACAAAGTAACCTCCAGGCTTCAGAACTCTGTCTATTTCCACAAGAAGAAGCCCCTCTGCACAGCGGATTTTACAATTTACATTAAGGACAGCTCCTCCCTCGTGTAAAGGAAACTAGTGTTTACCATTCTGGTCCCAATCAATGCCACAGCTTGAGCAATGCAACATATCAAAGGAAAGAGAAGGATACGGCAACTGCTTTGTCACAAAAGAAGCAATCATAGCAGGTAGACCCCTCTCAAGTGTTAGCTGAACTTGGCTACCAGATGCTTCATAGTTTGCTATACACATTGTCAAGAGCTGTTTGGAGAGTAGATGTGCTCCAAAGGTACCATAACCACATCCAATATCCAATATAGTTCTCACCTGAAAACAGATAAAAGATGAACCTATCAGTAATCTAAATATGGATCTGAATGAAACTATTTTTTAATTTTTTTAGGGCCGTCTAAACAATAATCTTCTATAATACGCCTAATCACCGTCTTAGCGATTTTTTGAACATTGAACCTATCTTTGAGTATATGTGATTGACTTACACCAGCTTCAATGAAGTTATCATTCTTAATCCCAATCATCTGAGCAATCTGATGAGAATAGTCTTCAATCTCATCAAACATAGGAGACGCAGAACGGAAAGATACTTGATCATCATCCAACATCATCATCCTAAAATTTACACAAAACCAAAACTTAGCAATGTAAAAGAAACAGAGCAAGAGAGAGAGAGAGGAAGCAAATCAATCACCAACCTCTTGTTAATACTACCAGAAGTCAACACTTCATCAGCAGTGATCTTAACATTACGAAACCAGATCACATCTTTACCCGTTGGCCACCTCAAAGGAACCTTATACTCCACAGGTGGCGAAACCAAACAGTCCTGTCTCGATTCAGACCCACAAAACCGACCGTTCTCAGAAACATTAAAGCAAGGAACATAGTTCTCAGACTCTGTATCACAATACTCCAACTCTTTCCACCTAGTGGGACCCACAGAGATGTCCTCAAAATCCAACAAATCAGAAACAAGCTGCTCCTGTAACCTCCTATAGCTGCTGTGGTAGACAAGACCAGTGGAAGAAGAGCTCGTGGAGATAGAGATTGTCCACCAGAAGGAGCCAGCGAGAGCAAGGAGGAGGATAAGAACCAAAGTGGTCTTAACAAAGAGAAGCATGAGTCTATACTTGTTTCTTGCGGTGTAAGGATCAGAGGAAGACTTGTCGGTAAAGAGGAAAGTAAAAGGAAACCTTAAAGTGGTTGTTGTATTGTTGTTGTTGTTGTTGTCAGTGGAACTACGAACTCCTGTTTTGTCTTTCATTTGAGAGTCTCTGAGAAGGTCGGAGACTCGTAGTACTCCTCCTCCTGAGGTGCCACGTTGCAGTGGCATTGACATTGAAAGATCCCTCTGTGAGAAAAAGGAAGTAACTTTGAGTTGAAAGAGAGAGACTTTGATAAGCCCAGAAGGTTATTTAATTAAAAAAGATTCGAACTTTGGGGTTAATATTATGAGTAAGATCCATGAATTATGGATCAGCTTTGATGAAACGAAACCCAGAGAGCTAAGAAAGGTAAATGAGAAAGAAAGAAGAGACCTTTTACAATAATCCTAAGAGCATGTTTATCCAAGGGTGCTTAGAGAAGTGCTTAGGAGGAGGGAGGTGCTTAATATGAAGAGAGAGAGTGTGAAAAGTGCTTAAGCAAGCACTTTTCACACTCTCTCTCTTCATATTAAGCACCTCCCTCCTCCTAAGCACTTCTCTAAGCACCCTTGGATAAACATGCTCTAATGAATCTTCTTCTTTGAGAGTGTGTGTGTGAGAGAGAGAGAGAGAGAGAGAGAGAGAAGCTCGAAGCAGCGTCGACGTGAATGGATCCAATCTCGGACAAAGCTCTCGTGAGAATTGAGAATTTTATTTCATTTAAATACTACTTTTCAATGTAGGCAAGAAATATAGAAAAAAATGGAAACTTTACACTGAAGAGAGAGAGAGAGAGTTGAATAAATAAAGCAAAATCTTCTCTCTGTGTTATGTATTTTATTTTGGGGGTTAAACAGCGTATTTAATGGAAAAGAAGAGAAGCTTCCCATTGGTACATGTCTAATTTCTCTTCTTTTTTTTTTTGGCAGAGTCTAATTTCTCTTTAATTTGTACTTACTATTCCTCTTGTTTAGTTTGATTTCAGCTTAATTAATTTAATTTTCTCTCTTTCTGGTGGTGCATAAAAACAAAATATATTTATTGGCTCCTTCATATTTAAATTTTTAGTAATTCGACTGGAAAATTAGAAAGGCTTAATACTAGTAGTTGACAAATTTAAAGTTTAAAGATGCTTAACTAGAAATATTTTTTTTTGTTCTATCTCCTTGTATTATAAAAGGCTCGGAAAGCATGAATTGTCTTTTAATGGCTCTATCTTTCGTTGTTTTGTAATTTTTTAAAAAAATTTGGTCTACTATTAAGTATGTCTACTGAATCATCTGTTTCGGTTGTAACAATAACTAAAAATATTTATTTGAACTCTTAATCCTTTTTTTTAATATTGTTTAATTTGTGTTAGGTCTCACACATGCTTATATCTAAAGGTTATTTTGTTGGTAGTTAATGTCTTTACGTTAGATGTAGATACTTTGTTTTTATAGCGGCAATGACATTTATATGAATAGCATCGCTTACACTGGACAAACAAAAACTCTTGATTTTTGCTATAATTTTTTTTATAAAAAGAAATCTTAGATGAAGATCTCAATCAATATGAATAAAATGTTAAACTTAAGACGTGCTTTCTGATAGCATAGACTTCATCGTTTGTCCATTAGATTTTTGGATTGTTTGAAATTTGATGAACGACAGAAGAAAACACATACATGATACATGATCAATTCTATGCAACAACAAAAAAAAACATAGACATGGCTTCTTATCCGAAAATTATGTTTGCGGAAAAAATAAAATTTAAGAGTCTTACAAAAATCACGATCATTTATTATGAAACATATTAGTAGGAGACCAGTTGCCCATTTGTACACGCCACCCACGATAAGGTTAGAGTTCGAGTAATATGTATTCCTTCTTGAGAAATATGTATATCTTTTTGCGAACTCTCGAGACCCATCACCATATCAAGATTACTTTATCATGATAAGTTTGATGACTCATGTACATAAGTGAAGTGGAAGAGGCCAAGAAGGTACATGGCGATGATATGTTTTACATTTTGTAGCTTCTTGGATAATTGCATAAATTAATATTTACATATTGTATATGTTTGTACTACAGACGAGTTCGGACAACTATCAAGTAAAAAAAACTACGTAATGAGTGTAAAATCACTTAAATTTTTGAATTTTATTGGAGGAAGAATAAAGGGATCAGGTTTCTCAACAAAATTCCAATATGCAAAGAGACAACGGGTACCCTTCGATATCTATATTTTATTGTGTTTTGCAAAACGTATAACCAATCAAACAAACGAAGAAATAAGGGAAAGAAATGAAAATGCTGGAAAACAAAGATAAAAAAATAAAAAAGATAAATATAAGAGGAAAACATGCAATTTTTCTACTAATTGCATTATCAGTAGGCCGGTTCGTATTGGCGTATATATAATTAAGTATTGACGTTTTACACTGTTCTGTTTGTATATATGCATGGTGTTCAATGAATGATTGGTTACTAGTTTTGTCATGTGTTATTGTCTGAACAGAATTTGTTGGATCAATGCATAACAAAAGTATCAAATATTGGAGTTTTGTGGTAGAGCATTGATAATAGGTAAAACTCAGAAACCTGGTGGTCCCACATAAACGCGGTGATATGTCGGTGGCTCATAATTCCGACGTGTGTGGTGTGGACTTAATGGTTTCTGTAACCGCACGCATTTTACAGAGGATCATATATTTGTTAATAGTCGAAGCAGGGATGCTTGGATAATATGATAAGTTAGTGTGCACGGTATTCGAGCTATTGAGTGTAGCAGACCAAGGCAACTGAAAAACTTCACGGATCGGTTAATCTACGGGATCACATGTGCTCTTTAGCTATGTCTCCTTTATTTGATGAATTAAAAGATAAATTATGCGATTATTTATTACATATCAACCTTCTTCTTTTTGACAATATTCATTCAAATGTACGAATGCAAAACAAAAACATAAGAGGAAAAAACAAAAAAAAATACTAAGCTGTGGGTTATACCGACGAGAAAATTACTGATTTATATCAATATGTGATTTTAATTAATGCGATGATGAAATATTTTTCCAAACGTATTCCCATTGTATGCATGGATCTAAAACAACGTGATAATCGTGTCAGATACACTGTAATTGGAATGTACGCGTGTTCTTCTAGCTATAGGTCAAAGTATTGAAGCTGGACAATCGCAACAAGAGTCATATATATATCTTTGATAACTTACAATCAGCATGGGATTTTTTTTTTTTTTTTTTTTGCTAAATAGCATGGGATAATTGTTGATTTATATCAAAGTGTATGTAGAGAGTACATGTTATTATCCACCGGCAGGTCGATATTTACTCAATCCTTATTTTTCAACTAATTAAGAAAATATAATTATCCTTTTTCAACTAAGAAAATATAATTATCCTTTTTCAACAAAAGACGATCTTTTTGTTGGTATGATCCCCAAAAGAAAAAAGATAAAGAGATTATTTGTTACAAGTCGTCACATGCGACTTTCTGTGCTTCAGGAATGAATTATAGTATTAATATGGAATAGACACACCGACATGGTGTTATGAATCTTGTGCAATCCGATTTCTATAGTTCAGGGAATAATGCATACGGCGTTTTAGAAAATCTCTAATGGGAAACATATTCCGTTTATTCATTACTAGATATGGACCCGTGCGTTGCACGGGTTTTGATTAATGTTTTATAAGTTTAATAAAAAAAGATAAAAATAAAAAACTTTTTTTATTGAAATTGAATGTTTTTAAATATGTTGTGTCGAATTCATTTTAGGAATCAAAATTCGGTTTTTTTACATAAGTTTTGGTTAAAT